GTAATACCTAATAATAATAATATACCTGATATAATAATAATAATAATAATAATAATAATAATAATAATAATAATAAAGGTATAATAATAATACCTGATTGAACTCCAATAGTTACCCCCCAATGCACACTCTCGGGTGATCAAGTCTTGCTCTTGACAACTTGCACCTAATAGTCTCTGGAATTAAGTAACTAGGAGAGAGTGTTTATTCCATTCCAGTCACAGGAAATTTTCCTATAGATAGAGGCATACACATGGAGAACTCTCAGTCTATTTAGGATTGTATTAAGCTTGGTAATAGGTTTCAGGGGTCAGGCACCTGACTGACCAAAACAACATCTACTGCTCCTCGTGCATCCCTATTTAAAACATACTCCAAATTGTTATTCTTCCATCTGAAGCGTACACTCGGCACATTGTATATACACTTTGCAATGTTGAACTCCATGTGTTAAGAGTTCTGCCGACTCGCTTCAATCACAGCGGCTATTAACAAAGGCAGTATTTTACTAAGTAACACTTCAAATTATTTTTTCTTAACATCAATTGTGTTTTTGCAGCAGGTTTTACAGCTCATTACAGTACTGTGTTTCTTGCTTACAATGTTATCAAGCCTATGTTGCTGATGAATTAGCTCTCACTTACAACCCTGACATTAATTCAGTAATGCGCCATTATCAATATTGCAACATAATTCACTGAGTGCCTTTGGACCACATCGCTTAAATCCTCGGTCCAAAATAGGTTATTGTGTATTTCAATTGGACCGATCGTGCTTCTCTATGAATAATGAATTTCATTCTTTAATTCATTTTAAAATGGATTTTGTCCATCTAACTTACTATAGTAGATGTCTCATGGTGTAACCCTGGCGTAGTGACCTTGAATTACTCTTTTATATTGGAATAATTTACAAACATGTAAAGCACAATACATTACAAGCACTAATGTAGGGATCAATTACACAGGTAGTACATACATGTATCTGAATATAATGAATATTTATACTTGTGTTTCAGTAAGATGTACCAACGTGCAGAATGCTTACTCTACCATGGTAACAATACCAATCGGTATTATATTTTAATCTCAACAAACTGCCCCAAATAGTTATAGATTTGTATCAGTTGTGTTAATTTCATTGTAAATATAATCCGTACAGAGTGTGATCAGCCAGGACTCTGTTTTGCACAAAATGTGCAAATGACTCCTCGGTAAATGTGAAACACACTATGAACTTGGAAAAATACACCAAACGTCATTATTTCTGTAAGATTACTTCTAACCTACGAAATAAATACAAAGTAATTTAAAGTCAAATGAATATATTTTGTAAACATTACCTGTACTGGCCTGTCCTCACCTTTTCCATTTCTGTTTATTAAAGTATTTGTTACGGTTTTATGCATTATAACTTTTTTTTTACCTTTCCTCTGTTTTCCTGACAGATTTCTGTCGCTGTTCAATGCTGACAGAATGTAGTTTGAGTTTGAGGGATTTAGTGAATCTCTGTGAATCTCTGCCTTTGTCTAAAGCACAAGGTCAGAAAAGGAAGGTATGGATGTGGGGGTGTTAGTGGGGGTAAAGCCATATCTAGGCATTTTAAAGGTTAAAATAATACAACTATATCTTAAGAACAAAATAGGTACATAGCAGATTTTATGTACAAAATTGACTTTAATTTCAATACACTGCAAAATATTTATTCAAATATCACTTACCTGAGCTGACCTATTATCCGAACCTCAGATAGATTGGGTGGAGTTACACACTTGGAAATGCAAACGAGTCGTTTTGACATTTTAACGTTTTATTTCAATTAATCAGTGTTTCATATATGTGAATATAAGCTCTGTAAAATTATCTATTTTGTGCTGAACCACTGAACACATCGTAGTAATCAGTGTCGTTTCCTATCTTGTTCTGAGATTCCCAGCTCTCCATAGAAAAGCTACTTATTAATTTATATTTCATGTAAATCACAGTTTTGCTTCCACAATGAAAAGATGATTATTTTATTAAAACATCTACACAAGAGTTTTGTATGAATAAGTAGTGTAGTGCTTGTACATGTTTTTTAAGACAATAATCAAAGCTGGACAAATCTCTTCTGTATTTTTTCTAATTTAATGTTACTTCCATAACTTCTAGCCTCCAGTGTGATGAAACACTTTGAATGGAGATAGCACCAGAACCTTTCCCTTACCTCAGTTGTTTTTTCTGCAATCAATAAGCAGTTGGTACAAAAGGTTTTTATTCATCACTGTCACCACAAGAGTCAACACCATAAATGTTGACATCTTCCTTGCAATCTGATTACTACATATTGTTTGCGGAAGAAGTATTTACTGCCATTTACAACTCGGGTTAGGCAATGATCGCAATGAATATGCAGTAAGCACAAGTGCGCCTGGAGGATCATCAACTCGGTGAACGAGGCCCTTTGGCTCCCAAAACCTGATGGTCTCCTGGCGGGACGAGGTGTCGGAGATGGCCTGCCTCAGGCTTGCGTACGCTAAGATCAGGGGCTACGTACCGAGGGACACGCTGAAGCTCGGCTCAGCCACGGCAAAGGCCAGGTGGGGCCTGACCCCAGCTGGAGCCGCTCCTGCGCTAGCTACGCTCACATCGGCCTCACATCCCCACGCGCCAGGGGATGTTTATATTTAGACTTCTGTATTAAATGTTGTTGAACCATGCTAAAGAAAGACATATAGCCTCATCAAAACCCCCAGGGCATACAAAGTAACATAGTTCATGCATATATGTTTGGAAATCTCTAACAATCACAATTTACGTTAACCTTTGAGTTTACATAAAATTTCACATTGTATCCAAACATTTCAATATGGGGATGAGTATGTGTGTAGCGATATGAAATATCCGAAATAAGTTCTACTTCTCAAATTGTCTAAACATTTATCAAAAGCTACAATATGGAACTTATTTAGTCCCATTGTCATCCTATTGATGGAAATAATCATTGTTTGTGAAACAATATTTCCTAACTGTTATTTGGAACACTTATTTTGGGTACAATACTACAACTCAGTTTAATAGTTCCAGCTGTCACATCAGGTGAAAACATTTCCTTAATGGTTGGAGCACTCGCTTTGCAAGCGAGACACCTGGGTTCAATTCCAGGCAGAGGGCGAAACCTTGGGCAAGTTTCCTTACTCCACACGCCTAATAATAATCCCTCCAAAACAAAACAAAAAAAAAATTGGTCATTTTCAATTGTGGGACACTGCTGTGCGCAATTAGCTGCCCCGTTTCGCACACAAATATACAGTCAATTCACTTTACAGCATATTCTGTGAAGCGCTTTGAGACGTCGAGAAGACATGAAAAGCACTAAATCAAATGCAAGGATTATTAACGATTGTTGCATTAATGCATTTAAAAACGCGGTGGACGGGTATTTGAGGAGGACGGGTTTGCAGGGTTATGGGGAAAGGGCTGGGAAGTGGGATTGACATTAATTGCTCTATTCAAAGAGCCGGCACAGACTCGATGGGCCGAATGGCTTCTTTTTTGTGCTGTACAATTCTATGATTCTATGACTCGATGATATTATTGTAAAGTTTGTTTCGAGTCCTCGTACTCACTGTGTAATCTTAGCAACAGTACAGAATATAGATTAATATACATTATTAGCTTCAGTGCATTTAGCATATATTAACTACAGTATTGTCAGCAAGTATTCATCCCGTGTAAATGGGGGTCACATCTGTAGCCTGTGTCTAGCACTCCTGTCTCTAATTACTGCCAGTATCTCACTGCTTGTATCACACTGCCTGTATCTCACTGCCTGTATCACACTGCCTGTATCTCACTGCCTGTATCACACTGGCAGTATCTCGCTGGCAGTATCTCGCTGCCTGTATCTCGCTGCCTGTATCTCGCTGCCTGTATCTCGCTGCCTGTATCTCGCTGCCTGTATCTCGCTGCCTGTATCTCCCTGGCAGCATCTCCCTGCCTGTATCTCCCTGCCTGTATCTCCCTGCCTGTATCTCCCTGCCTGTATCCCCTGCCTGTATCTCCCTGCCTGTATCTCCCTGCCTGTATCTCCCTGGCAGTATCTCCCTGGCAGTATCTCCCTGCCTGTATCTCCCTGCCTGTATCTCCCTGGCAGTATCTCCCTGCCTGTATCTCCCTGCCTGTATCTCACTGGCAGTATCTCCCTGGCAGTATCTCCCTGGCAGTATCTCCCTGCCTGTATCTCCCTGCCTGTATCACACTGCCTGTATCACACTGCCTGTATCACACTGCCTGTATCTCCCTGGCAGTATCTCCCTGGCAGTATCTCCCTGCCTGTATCTCCCTGCCTGTATCTCCCTGCCTGTATCTCCCTGCCTGTATCTCCCTGCCTGTATCTCACTGGCAGTATCTCACTGGCAGTATCTCCCTGCCTGTATCTCCCTGCCTGTATCTCCCTGCCTGTATCACACTGCCTGTATCACACTGCCTGTATCACACTGCCTGTATCTCCCTGCCTGTATCTCCCTGCCTGTATCTCACTGGCAGTATCTCCCTGCCTGTATCTCCCTGCCTGTATCTTACTGGCAGTATCTCCCTGCCTGTATCTCCCTGCCTGTATCTCACTGCCTGTATCACACTGCCTGTATCACACTGCCTGTATCTCCCTGCCTGTATCTCACTGCCTGTATCTCACTGGCAGTATCTCCCTGCCTGTATCTCCCTGCCTGTATCTCACTGGCAGTATCTCCCTGCCTGTATCTCACTGGCAGTATCTCCCTGCCTGTATCTCCCTGCCTGTATCTCCCTGCCTGTATCACACTGCCTGTATCTCACTGGCAGTATCTCACTGCCTGTATCTCACCCCCTCGTATCCCAACCCCCCGTATCTCACAGTCTACCTCTCTCAGTCTGTATCCCATATCCCACGCCCCGCCCTCACGCCGTATCTGCCATCACGTGTTCGCTGCCCCGCGTCGCTGCGAATCGCGGCCGACGCGCTGACGTCACGGCACTGGTGACGCGGGGGCAGCGGGGAGGCCAGTTCCAATATGGCCGCTGACCCCGGGGGAGCCCCTCTGCCTCTCACCCTCCCTCCCGCGCTCTCCCCTCTCTCCGCCTCTCCTGTCGGGTCCACACCATGGACGAGCTCTCGGTAACGATCCCGGGTCTCGTGTCGCCGCCGCCGCCGCTATGCCAAAGAGAGGAAACAGAAAACGGCTGAAGGAGCGCGGCCACGTCTGCTGTGCAGCAGCGGGTAACGGCCGCGCGGCGCCGCGCCACCGCACCCACACCCGCACCCGCTGCCTGGGCGGCCACCGCGCCCCCCCCCTCCCCCTCCCTCCCCCGCCCCCCGATTGGGCGGCCGACTCGCCAGTAATAATGTTGACAACCCGAGACGTCTCAAAGCGCTTCTCAGTATATACTGTAAAGTGCAGTGACTGTATACCTTGTGGGCGTAACGTGGCAGCCAATTGCGCGCAGCGGCGACCCCACCCCAAACAGTCGCGGGTGGACTGAGTGACCCGAGCGGTTATTATTTTTTGAGGGATTACCCCTCCCCTCCCCCCGAAAAGTGATCCGCCAATCGACTAACAACCGGTTTCCTACTCACTGCACTGCTGGATAAACTGAGGCGTGTGGAGCAAGGAACCTGTGAAGCGCTTTGAGACGTCGAGAAGACGTGAAAAGCGCTATATCAAATGCAAGGATTATTATTATTATTATTATTATTAACCTTGCCCAACGTTTGGCCCTGCCCGGGAATCACGCCAAAGGTCTCTCGCGTGCGAGGCCGGTGCTCTGACCACTGAGCTACAGGACTCCCAATGTCACCTCAATTTACAGGATTTATACTTCCATTGCTGATAAAGTGAAGCTTGTTGCACAGCCCAAATGACAGCTCATCAGCACCAGCAAATGTCCCCATAAGCAGCTGATTAATTTGAAATTAATCAAGTGGTTTGATACATGCATAACACATGGAAGATTAAAGACCGTTGCTACTTTGCTGTGCTCGACATCACTGTCAGGCAGATTGTATTTACTGAAGCAGAGCTTGTCTGAATAGCTACTTTTGAGATCCAAATAGCAGGAATAAGAAAAAATAAATGTCCCAAAACAGTACTGTAATGAGTAACTTGTAAAGGTTTAGGGTTGACTTCAGTTTGAATCATCCCATTCAAACACTGAAGGGTAACAGTTAATTTAATCAGCATGGCACAGTGACACCTATGGGAAATTTACACAGAATACCTTTATTTGACTATCCGTGTGATTATACTGCTGTTTCACTTCCCTGACTTTAAACATGTTTTGTAAATGTTGCCATAATTTTGCACAATGACTGCTGTTGTGTCATCTCTTGCAGTTTTGTAGAGAGTTTTCAAGACCACATGTACTGCAATAACTATTGCACATAGCAATATACTTGAACTATCATTAGACCTTCAAGCTGAGGATCTGTTCAAGTGGTCTGAATAAAACCCTGTTGTGTTTTATACAAAATGTCCTAATTTTTTTTGTTGATAAGTCTGTCACAGCCAAAATCATAATAAATATTTTTTGTCGTCAAAGCAAAATAGACAGGTGGGTTAGCAAATTAACTATAATTTATGATAGATTTAACGTTCTTTTATAAGTTTTCATACATGAATGGGGAGATTCTGGAATTGTCAACTAAGTAGGCGCACAACTAATTGCCCTTGTGTTGTAGAACTGATGTCATAGTTGCGTGGCCATTTCTCTGAAAACCTTGATAATCACCCACCTGGGCACTCACTGTATACTGTAAACTGCTAAATCCAGACTCAGGGCAAATTCATGTTTTCACCTTCTAACTTACGTAGGTTTAGATAGAATGTACAGCACAGAAATGGGTCATTTGACTCGACTAGTCCATCCTAGTGTTTACTTCATCCACTGCTTATTCACTGCCATACGTGGAGTCCTGTAGCTCAGTGGTTAGAGCACTCGAGGCACCTGGGTTCAATTCCAGGTAGTGCGAAACCTTGGGCAAGTTTCCTTACTCCACACTCCTAATAATAATCCCTCCAAAACAAAACAATAATAAATTGGTCATTTTCAATCCATGACTGTTTGTGGGACACTGCTGTGCGCAATTGGCTGCCGCGTTTCGCCCACAAATATACAGTCAATTCACTTTACAGTATATTCTGTGAAGCGCTTTGAAACGTCTAGAAGACGTGGAAAAAGCGCTATATCAAATGCAAGGATTATTATTATTATTACATACCCTTTGATTTCCCCTCTCCCTTGTGAAGGTCAAGCTTCCTCTTAAATTGTCTATACTACTTGACTCAACCACTGAATCAGGCAGCAAGTTCCATGTTTTCACTAATCTCTGTGAGGTAGTTCTCCCTAAATTCTCTTTTAGATCTCCCTAGTTGTTATATAGATTTGTGTCATTATACTTACTAATACGTCTTATACTAATGAGACCCTGGTTACTTAAATGTCTGCTTTGATCTCAATCCAGTTGTGGTTGTGAACAGTTTAGAGCAGAAGGAGGAGGAAGTCCAAAGAAAGTACAGATACTATATGGTGTTTGTATTTTGTAAAAATTACCTTTGGTCAGTTTTGTAGAGGGTGTTCTATAGACCTGTTTGGGTCTATATGAAAACAACAACAACTTGCATTTAGATAGCGCTTTTCATGCGGGGTAGAGTCCTGGAGCCCTTCACAATGGCGGAGTCTATGACAACGAGCTGAATGCGAAAGGCATCTCCTTCCCCCTCTGCACCAAATTTTCACTCTCACCAGAGTCACACAATGGGCACATGGTGAAACCGTACTCCGAAATGAGATGGAACCTGGCGTGGCAGTAACATTTTCATTGCAAAATTTGTGATTTTTATTCTTCAAACTGGAAGACAGCTATTCTCAGTAGGTCTGAGCTGGGACAACATCACCTGTCTTAACTTCAGTACAGAACTGAACCAATCTGCTTTTAGTATGAAACTTTGATATTGTAGAGATTTAATCCAGTGTAAAATTAACTGAGAATGAACCACTCCTGCAAACAGTTTTGGTAATCTCACCAGTAAGCTTGAGGTTTTTTGCTGCTGTTAAGTTTTTTTTTCCTTTTCAGTTACTGTGGCAGATTATGCCGATTCAGACCCAGCTATTGTGAAGAGTGGGAGAGTAAAAAAAGCTGTGGCAAATGCAATTCAGAAAGAAGGTTAGTCTGAATAAATACTTGAAATTTCTATGGTTTTGATAATTTTTTAGGCTTTCAGTTTAACAAAATAGGAGCAGGCCATTGAGATTTCCAAGGCATTGTACCACAATGATTATCAAAAGATATTTTATTTAGATAACTCACTCAGTGATTCAAGATCTTGTGCTGGCCATTAGGATCATGGGGCAGTGATCAGGAACTGAAACCATGTGAGTCTTGGAGATAACATTTTAATTGTTCAAAATTGGACTGAACCTAACTTGGCTATTCTAATGGCCATCTATCTACACCTGATCAAAATTTGTACTCTATAAAACTAAATTGCAAATGGTACAGTACAACTTAATAAACTGCATACTTTTAAAAGTGAATTGATTGCTATAGTTTTGTGGTCAAATTGTAATAATTAATGGTTTTGTTTCAGTGAAGTTATTGTGTGGATTGGAAGCTTCTCAAGTCCCTGTGGAAGAGATTCCTGAGGATCATCTGGACTGTAACAAAGATGGTGATGAGTTGAAGATTTCCAAGAAAAAGAAAAGCAAAAGGCACCAAGGTAAGCCCCACCTGAACCTGTCAAAGTCTGTAATTGTATTCATTAACATTTGCTTTCTAATCCAACTGTTCATTTTTAGTATTTTTTTAAAAATTGCTGAGCTATGTCACTGTTGGATGCTGCAGGAAATTTCCATGTCACACCTACTTACTGAAGTAGCTCCCGAGTGTAAACGCGAGGCATTAATTCTCCCAAGATTATCATAGCTGTTTTCCCTTTTTTTAAAAAAATGTGTCGGATATAGCGTTAATATGTTGATGTATTAAAACTTAATTGTAGAGACGGATATTTGCAGGCAAATATGGCCACTAATTTGCGACATGTTGGAACAAACATTTATCCACTTTCCCTCTTGCTCTACAACAGACGATGGGAACAGTGGAGAACAATATCCGATAGATATTTGGCTGTTTTTGGCATCCTACATTCGTCCTGAGGATGTTGGCAAGTTCGCTCTGATTTGTAAAAGTGCCTGGACAGTTACTTGTACTGCAGCGTTTTGGACTAGACTGTACAAGAGGTGAGACGTATACCAATTAATTATTTCTGGAAATATTACAAGTATCTGGAGACTGTTGTGAAAATCAGTAAGTGATTCTGAAGCACTTTTGCAAGGAGTCTGAGTAAACTACAGGAAAGTCAGGTGTAGAATCCCTATTGCTTTCTTTTGCTTTTGTTTTCAAAATAATCCCTGTCTAGTGCATGTATTATTCAATGGTTGCATATTTTTAATACCCCAAATAATATTGAATTTGTAGTTCACTTCATGTTTTTTGTGGTACATTGCTGTGTGCAAATTGCTGCAGCGTTTGTTCATAAAATACAGTCACTACACTTTACAGTGTATCCTGTGAAGTGCTTTGAAATGTTTCAGTAACCCTATAAAGCGCTATATCAAAATACAATGATTTATTATTAAATTAGATTGAATCTACCTTGGTCAATACCACGATTTACTGTTGTTCCAAAAAAAAGTTTTTATACTTGAAGCTTTTTAGCTTGAGACTTTTTTAAAAAAATTATACAGTACTTAAAATGGGCAAAGTTTGCAACTAGGTTTCTTCAGTTCAGGAGCTCTGATGGATTAAACTCTACGTTCTTGTTTTCACCAGTTTTAATCCAAAGCCTCACAATCTATTGCTGGCTGTGATATGGAGCCTTTTCATGCATGTGGCCAACTTTCAACAACCAAAATATTCCCTGATGCTGACCAAATCAGGAAATATGACTGAGGTTTTAGTGTGTTTGTTTAGCAGTGGCCGTTAGCTGTCTGGTTTAGTGAACTATTGAAGTCAGATCTATTCCATAGAGGTTAAGGACCGTTAAAGTCCATTTTTATTATTTACTATTTTTTAGGATTTTTGGGGGTTTAATTTTTCAACATCAACAAAAACTGGCCTTTATATAGCGTCCTTCAAGTAGGGAAAAATCTCAGAGGGATGGGATTGGACACCAAGCAGGAAGTGGCTGTTCCTAAAGGTAGGAATTGAGACCAATTCAGATTACAATTGGAGGTTAGGGGCATAGGTAGCTGGAGGCTTCGCAACCGATGTTGGTGTGGAGAGAATGGGGATGATGGAGCCAGCACGAGTTAGTTGAGCGAGAGGGGCGGGTGGGTAAAGGAGTTGGCTGAAGCTGAGGAGGATGGCCTCCATCTTCTCCATGTTAAGGTGGAGGATGTTTTGTCTTTGCTCATCCAGGCCTTGATGTCTGCTGTAATATTCTGTAACATCAGTGAACATAGTGTCAGGTACGATGTCATCCATTGATGACCCAATGGAAGAAGTTGATAAATGGAAATACCTGATCAATATCAATAAGAAGGAAGTGGAACTCGAGGATGGAAAATCATGTTGAGGAAGGGAGACGGGGGCTAAAACATATGCCCAATTGCAAGAATCAAAATTGAGGATGTGTGCGGAAAACTGCTTTTGTGAACAGTGAAAAGATTTGTCCTGGATCAGTGGTTTACACAAATAATAAATTTGTTCAGTAAAATTGGGAGAAATCAATAATAATAATCCTAATAATCCTTGCAATTCGTATTGCGCCTTATCACATCTTCAAGACGTTTCAAAGCACTTCACAGAATATACTGTATAATTAATTGACTGTATATTTTGTGGGCGAAACAAATTAATAATAAGTTTAAGATTAATAATAAATATAATAAATTTAAGTGACCAATTTAGTATTATTATTATTTTTTTGAAGAACTTATTACCCCTGGAAAAGAGATGGCATAAATTTACAAGTCTAAAGGTATCAGCCTGCCTCAAATGGCAGCACTCTTATTTTTGAGTTAGAAGGTTGTGGTTTCAAGTCCCAAAACAGGACTTTGAGTTCACAGTCCAGCTAACAGTCCAATACAGACTGGGTGGGGGGGTGGGGGTGAGTGCTCTCAGAGACCCTTTGGTTGAGACAATAAACCAAGGTCTAAGGCGGACGTTGAAGATTCCATAGCACTATCCAAAAGAGAAGCAAGTTTCTCAAAGTGTCCTGATGGACAGTCCCCCAGATAAAATTAATCGTTCGCTTCATGAATGTTTATGCAAGGATTATTATCTTTAATTTTGTCTTTTTTGCCCACAAAACACAGTCACTCCATCTTACAATGAATTCAGTGAAGCACTTTTAGATATCCTTCCAATGCGTTATACCGAATGTAAGGATTTTTTTGTTTAGGTAACGATGCAAATTAGCCAGGTAGCTAATTTTCCAAATGTTGTAGTTGTGGGACTCCATCTTGAAGTTATTTTTGATTTAACTAATGTTAAACTTCTCTGATTTAGGTGTTATCATTCAGATGTTTGCTTGCCCGCACGTTTGCAACCTGAAGGCATAGACAGGTTCCGGTGCCTTCGAATTTGTGTAATTCGCTCGCTGTACTACATGTATGAACCATTTCATTTTCGTCTGTCAGAAAAACCTGCAATTCCTGAATCTACTCCAGATACGTTACAGAACTGTAGTGTGAGTGGACAGTTTAAACCTTTTTGTGTTTACGACAGTGAATTATTTTCTAAGTCAATTTGAACACTTAATTTTTTTTACTGGGAAAGGGCTAGAAGTTGATGGTGCTCTTTTAATGACTGTTAATATAAGACTGGAATATGTCTGACTGCTGACATCCCTGACTTCAATGTGCCTGGTGTTTAGTTTGATCTCCAGATATAAAACCACTGGAAAGATCGAGATACAAAAAAAGTAACTGTGGTTTATAGAACAGAATTGATTTATTTTGTAAATGTGTAACTCTAGCTTACATTTACTTTGTGCATATTGAACTTCCAGACTGACACATGGATATCAGTTACAAAGGTAACAATGTGTTCTTTTAAAGAGGCATTTATTGAAACTTGCTTAAAATGCCCTACTTTTTAAAATAGATTTGGACTTTTGAGAATTGTTTTTTAATGGGTCAGTTATGAAGCTGCTTGCTTCCCATACTGAAGTTACTGAAAGTAGGTTAGTTCACAAGGGCTGCCCAGGGAAATACATCTTCAAAACCAGCACGTGTATTTTTAATTGTTCTGTGAGCCTGTGCCATACAACAAATGGGTGTGGTCAAAAAACAGTACCAGCAAAGATGAAACTAAATGAAGGATCCCAGCTACTACTTTGTCTGAGATGAGCTAACTGAGCACCACTCAGGATGTGAAACTGCAAACTTCTGGTCTGTATGGTGTTCCGAAGCATCAGACCCGCTGGATCAATGGGAGAGCAAGGGCATCTTTTTATTGCTATTTAGGCAGTTTCTGAATGGTTTGACCACGTAACTAACCCATGTGCTAAATTAATAAAAATCCTGCTTTTGTTTAGTGTTTGCTCTATTGGTGCAAGAAAGGAACTGGTAACCGGCAAGACCAAAGATGGGAGTTCAGCTACAAATTCAAGAAGCAGGTGTGAAGTTAAGTCCAGTTTGTAAATCGTGGTTTATTTAAAGATGATGGCAATTACAAGGAAATGTGTTTACTGTTCACCATAAGGAATAGTGTGTAATATCTCTACCGGTGCTCTAATCAGTTTTTTCATTCTGATTAGAATAACTCACTATGTGAATATATATGCAATGCTGCATTGCTGGAGTGGTTGACAGAGCCTGCTCAGCTATTAGCACTATCGCCTATTAGCTGGAAGGTTGTGGGTTCAAAGTCCCACATTGGGCTTTTGAACTCCCGTTGTCTGGGCTGACGCTTTTGTGCACTGCTGGGTGGGGGACACATCCAATCATTCACCATCCTTTGGATGCGATGTCACACCGAAGTTCCATCTACCTATTCAGGTGGAGATTAAAGATCCTAGGGTACTATTTGAAAAGAGAAAAGAGTTTCTCCTGGTGTCTCCTGGTCAACAATCATCCAAATAAAATTGGTCATTTACTTCATGGCTGTTTGTGGGACATTGCAGTGTGCAAATTGGCTGCTGTGTTTGCCCACAAAATACAGTTGCTACAATTTATTATTATTATTAATATTGAAATGCCCTCCTCATTGGCCTCCCTAGCTCCACTATCCACAAAATCCAACTGATTCAAAACTCTGCCACCCGTATACTCACCTACACTGAACTCCATACCTCATCACCCCTGTTCTTGCCAGGCTCCACTGGCTCCCTGTCACAGAACAGATCGACTTCAAGATCCTCTCACTCATCTTTAAATCCCTTCACACTCGGGCACCTCTGTTCCTCTCTGAGCTGCTTACTCTTCCCCTCTCCCCCACTGCCTCTGCTCGACTGGCTCCGGTCTCCTGCTTGTCCCTCATCCCCTCTGCTCTACCATCAGCAGCCGTGATTTCAACCATTACCCCCTGAAATTCTGGAACTCTTTCGCTCAATCTCTCTGCCTTGCCTCCTCCTCCTCCCCGGTTTGGGTCAGGCTTCATTACTGTTAAGCGCTCCGAGACTCTCCGTGTGAAGAGCGCTGTGTAAATGCAAGTTGTTTATAGTATATCCTGGGAAACACTTTGAGATGTCCCCCTGACGTGAAAGGCCCAAATCAAATAAAAGGATTATTATTATTTTGTAAACTCCTGAAGATTCTTATTGTGCTCAAACTTTATTGGAAAAAAATTGAAACTTTATCACCTCCTTTAGTCATAGTGGAGTTACTGTTTGGATCTCTCACATGAAGTGCGTGAAAAGTTGAAATGAGAAAGCGCACAATATTGATCTATTTAAAGCCACTAATCTCAAATGTTGATTTATCATGCGTGCCATGATTTACATTCTTTAGTCACCCAAGTTGAAGAATGGTTATCGAAATGGACTTCAGTTTCCCCGACAATATGAACAGGTGCACAGGAATCCTGACCAGGACTGCTACTTGTTGCAGATCACCACTCTCAACTTCATCTTCACACCTGTGGTTATGGGCATGACCTTAACACTGGTAGGGCCTGGTCTGAATGTTCTAACAATTGATTTCAAAAAGCTAGACTCCTCTTCAGAATTCAGAATTGGGTTTGTTTTGGGAAAGAGGGTAAACAAGGGGAATTGCTATCTTCTAATTAATAACTAATTGGCTTTCAATCTCGTGGTCCCAGATCTTCGCTTGGATGTGTCCTGTTTATAATCCTGCTGTGCATTTTTTTAGGTAAAACTATTTGGAATATTTTAAAGATGTTGCAGTCAATTTTCAACCAAAGCAGCAGATTATACTTCAGATTCTGCTCATAGTAAAATGTGAAAATTGACTGATTCCAATGTTGACTTTTGTGTGATTGACAAGATTACCTGAAGTTTTTTTAAATTATTGATTTCTTTAATAAACACGAACCAAAAAAGCAAGACTTCTGAAATGGCACTCAAAAGTATGTTGATATTATTCATTACTACTCAGTCGATGTTTTCCTGCAGGCAATATAAGATTTTTTTTTTCGCTGCAGTTCACAATAAATGTGAGCAGTGATATGAGGCACCACCGCGTCAGGATGATATTTCAAGACTCACCGATACAGCATGGGAAGAAGCTACAAAAGGACCAAGGCCTCCAGGTTATTTTGGATCCTGTGCAGAGTGTACGTTTACTGGACTGGTGGCATCCACAATTCCCCTTTTCTTATACCATTTAATTACACCATTCCATTAAAAAAAGTTATTGTAAAACACAAAAATCGGATGCTGGAAAGTGTATCGCATGAAAGGCGTGAAAGATGAGTTCAGTTTTTAGAGCAATGGAATTTAGAACTTTTGAAATTCACTGTTAATAGAGTACAGATGCTAGCGACTGAATGCAAAGTTTTGTTAAAACTATGTAAAGACCCAAGATCTGAAAAACCTAGTGCGGTTTATAAAAGGCTGTTTTCAATGGTTTCTTCAAATGTTAAATTTTGTGCTGTTTGTTAGTCTCTGAACATGTTCCTGTAAACCCTTGTAGTGGCGCAACCAGCGAGACAACACTTCCATGCAGTAACAGCCCAGCTTACTCTTGATGTAATGTGCAGGACTTATGGGTTATAAAAACTCATGTCAAAGACCATGTTGTAATGGTTCTGTCAAATCCCACACAAAAAAAAATGTTAAACAGCGCCCTGTCACTGCTAGACAACTGGAATTTACTCATGTAAAAGTCATGAAAGGGTTTAATTGGGAGATGACTCTGTTTGCTGACTATGAAGAGCTTCTGAATTCAGAAAGACAAGTCTCAGTTCCCAAGTCTGATCTTGGAGGATTTACCATAGAATAAGCTAAGGTTTTGGAGGGGTCATTGAAAAAATGTGTTTTTTTTAACATAATTGAGCTACTGTATCTACTGGCCTTACATGAGGCGCAATGAAGTCTTTCCAAACCAGCAATGGCACCTAGGCTTGTGAAAATTCATCCTGATATATTTTTGTGGCTGGGGGTTTAAGTCAAAACAAGTCTTCTTGACTCTGTAAAGGAGTCTAAAAGGCAAGGCTCAACACTGTAACTGTAGAATTTCCAGTAACTCATGTACACAAAGATTTTTAAAGGTTTTAGACTAAAAATTGCCAGTCTTACAAGTTACAACTCACACCACAATGCAAGCCTTTTGCTGAATGTGTTTTACTGTTTTTTTCAACAAAAGATTCAAATTGAAGTTGCTAGTATCGTGCTAACTGAGACGTGTTTCTTTTAGGGGGGAAACTATGGTGGGAGAGAAATTATTCTGCTTCTCTTTAAATGCTGCTCTCCATTTAGGCAAATGATTTAGAACAAAACCAACTTCGTTGAACGTTACTTTTTTTTAAAAAACCAATAGAATTCACAGTGGGAGGTGGATTTAAAGAAGAACTTTACTGTCATGGGTACAATATGAATGGTTAAGACAGTTTGAATACTACAGTACGTTATTCTACAACGATGTGAATATCCATCAACCAGGTGTAGTTTGTTCAGGTGAAATAATACAAATCTTACAGTGCAGCTTGAATCTTGCAGAAAATGTTTTGGGCTGGTCAAAGGCTTGAAAATGGTTGAGTAGATGTATTGTCATTGGTGTTGCCGTCTGTGTACTTTGTGCTAACGCGTTTTGGCTTCAAAAGCTGTTTCTCATTAATTGTTTTATTTTAAGACTGAATTGAGTGTTCCTGAAGGAATCTGCATCAAATGCTCAATTGCTTCTGTGTTTGATGCGAAAATTCATATTGTTTGAAAATGACTTTTTACCTACTCCCAGTTATTCTCAATGGAGGCTTTAGCATCTGCTATCTATTGTTTGTTTCTGATGTTGTCATCCAGTTGGTTGTTCAATGACAGTAAAATCGCTCCTTTAAAAGTTCCTCATTGTCTACCCAAGACCCTTAAGGGACAATATTTGAGCCGAGGCTGATCATTGGTGCAAATGTCGTGGTCAAACCAGTTAAAAGGTGGGTACTGTCAGCCAGACTCCAGTATCAGTTACCTACAATCTTGTACCTGATGTTTGCTTTATATTTTTGCATCAGTTTGGCAAGAATAGTGTGTATATTAGGAATAAGAAATGTGCAGGGTTTTTAATTATTCAAAGCATGCTTTATGATTAGTATTTACTGCAAATGATTTGGTCCAGAAATTGCCTCGCCTTCTTGTAAGGATTATTAAAACGGGTAACTGAATGGAACTGTTTGAAAATACAGTAGTCACTGTTAAGTTTGATGATTGTTAAAACATTTATTTTAAGAACCATTAAATCTTGAATAAGATGTGACTTCAATGTGCCTGGAAACGGTTCACTTTTTGTGGAACAAAATTGTACAACCTGATTGTGGCAAATACAAGGAATGTATCCTGGTCCTTTCCACACAAGGTAATGTACTGGAGAAATTCAACATGAAATAGTTGAGTTTTTCAATAAAGTGAAGGTGAATGTTTTCCCAGCACCTTTGTGACAATTTTTGTCCTTGAGCTGAGATCCTGAATGAGAGCAGTGTGCACAGGGCTAGACTGTCCAGCCATTACCTGTCTAATCTGAGCATTACTAGATTTTCCCTCAACTCTTCTGAATACTAGTTAGTGGCTGTGAAGGACAAATCTTTAAGGTATTATTCATCTTAAATGTGCATAAGGATACTTCTATTTTTTAAGATTTGTTTTAAAAAACCCTTCTAACTCTGAAGTTCCTGGCTCGGTACATTGACGGCAGTGTTTCAAATAAAATTCATGCAGTATTGGAGGAAAGCTTCTTATTCATTTTATTTGGGGCAAGTTCATTGACAGGGAATGAACAAATCATTTCAAGCAAATATTGCTGGTAAATCATTTTAAATTGATCTTTGAATGTTGACTCTTGACCCTCTCGTGTCCCCGTCCCCCCCCCCCCTTTTAAAATGCACTCTTACATGCTAAGTGTGGAAATAATGCCCTCAGTAAATTAGCTCTTTGGTGCCTCTTGGGATAAATAGGAAGAAATTAGTCAGAATTTTGGCTGCACTTTGATAGAACTAGACAGAATTGATTTGCTTATTTGTAAAATATCAGCAGGTCCGGAATCTGCACTGCGTAGAATGTGTGTCACTGATGCAGTAAGATCTTCAAACAGAGGTCAGGGCTCTTGAGCTGTTAAATTTGAACAATACATTACTATCACACAGTACAATGGTCTTTAATAAATTGTATTGTTATGAGGTCATTTTCATGTATGAATGAAAAGTATGCAACCGGCAAGTGTGCTTCCTGATTATTTGTAAAACATTAATTTTAATAAAATGGAGATTCCACTGTCCAGTGATAAAAAATTGAATGTAAAAGCTGAAATCGAGTTGAAACGTGCAAAGGTACAAGCAATTTACAGATGGACCAGATTTCCTTTGTACATTGCTGTATTCCATGAACTCAATAAAGTTTGTGTAAGACAGCCTGGAGTTGTGAACTGCTCAGTCTTTGCGGTCAGATATTTACTATTTCACAAGGAGCTAAATATTGAAGCACAGCTTCATCGGACAATTGAATTCTGTTTCTTAGCTGAAAAGAAAATATAATAAATTTGCTAATGTTTCAGAAACAGTAAACATTTTACATGCATCGCAGACAGACGTGGTCTAGGCTCGAAGATTGCAATGCAGTACTGGGGGTGTGTTGTATTGTCCGAGATGCTGTTCTTTGGATGAGACGTTAAATCCGGGTCCTGTCTCCCTGTTCAGGTGGATATTAAAGTTGATATAAAATAATAATACTTGCATTTGATATAGCACCTTATCCTGTTGAGACATATCAAACATTTCACAGGATATACTGTATATTAGTTTGACTGTATATTCTGTGGGTGAAGCACTCATAAAGCTACCATGGTACTATTCGAAAAAAGAAGGGAGTTTCCCCTGGTGTCTTGGCCAACAATTCCCTAAATAAAATTGGTCACACACTCCATGGTTGTTTGTGGCACATTGCTTTGCACAAACTAACAAAATAATAATCCCTCCAAAACCCCAAACAATAATAAATTGGTCATTTTCAATCTACGACTGTTTGTGGGACATTGCTGTGCGCAATTGGCTGCCGCGTTCGCCCACAAATATACAGTCAATTCACTTTACAGTATATTCTGTGAAGCGCTTTGGGACGTCCTCCCGACGTGAAAAGCGCTATATCAAATGCAAGGATTATTATTATTATTATTATTAAACTAGCTGCTGCATTCAACCACAAAATTCACACCACTTTACAGTACATCCTGTGAAGCCCTTTTGAGATGTCTCAATGATAAGATGCTATACCAAATACAGGCATTATTTATTTCAGGGCCTTGGGACATCCTACTGACATGAAAGGTGCTATATAAATGTAATTGTAATGATATTTGTAGGCAAATGTAGCAGCCAATTTGTGCATAGCAAAACAGCCATAAAGTGCCCAATTGTATTTAAGGGGTAGGAGGTGGGAGGAGGTTGTTGACCAGGACATTGAGAGAAATCCCTTTTTCTTTTCGAATAGCGCTATGGGATCTTTGACAAACACCTGAACTGGCAGACAGGACCTCGGTTTAAGGTCTCTAGGAAGGACGAAGCTCCAACAATGCAGCACTGCCCCAGCACTGCACTGGAGCATCAGCCTGCACCATGACTTCAAAGTCTCACGTAGAGCCTGAAGTTACAACCATCTGATTCAGAGGCGAAAGTGCCACCAGCTGAGCCTGGCATTCGTCCACAAATACACAGCCACTCCTCTGTACAGTAAAATCCTGTGAAGCTATATGAGATGTTTTGAAGATGTGAAAGATGCTATATCAAAAACAAGGATTATGTATTATATATAACTAATGTAGAGATGCCGGCATTATTGATCATTTCCTTTTTTATGTATCCTGTATGATGAATGTAAATGGTGAATAATGAACCATGTCTAATGGACATTGAAATGGTTTGCTCAGTTGAATTTTATTTCCCAAAGGGTAAAAACCCATTGCACCGCACTTACACACTTATTGTAATTCATTAAACTGGAGATCCCACTCAAGCTGCACAGAACCGAGCAAGATGGAAACTTCCTGCTGCTCTTGTCCTGAGGCTGGGATTGATGTGCATATTTACAGGGCGTCTAAACAGCAGAATTTTGTAGCTCACACCGGATATAAACCAGACAGCCGCTCTATGGTCTCCTCCTGGGGGAGAGGAGCTGAATGCAAAATATCTGCTTTAATCAAACCAGCAGAGAAATTACATTTCAGCCTTGTTAAGGTAACTTGTTGATGCAACTATTGAATGGTAAAACCAGATCTATACAACAACAAAGTTACAGGTGTATAGCACCTTTCACGTCGGGTGGACATCCCGAGGCACTGAACAGTCAGGGATTTGCACCCGAGCTGAAGGTTGAGATCAGGAGGGGTGGAGAACTGGGAGGGTAAGGTTAGGAGGGAGCGAGGTGAAGGGACTGGGATGGCGTTCCAAAGGGTGGGGGCAGAAAGGCTGATGGGGTGGGCCCGGTTGGTCGGCATCGAGCAGAACGGAGGTTGCTGAGTGGAAGGAGCGGACAGGTCTATATGGAATTAGCAGGTCACAGAGATTGGGACGAGCAAGAGGATGGAGGGCTTTGAAGGTGAGAATGAGGATTTTAAGCTATCTGGGGGATGGGAACCAGTGGAGCTGGGAGAGGGTTACGGAGCTTGGTGCAGGAGAGGACACTGCAGTTTGTGGAGGGAAGAGTTGGGAAGGCTGACAAGCAGGGAGTTAGCATAGTCAAGCCTGGATGTGATAAATGTGTGGATGAGGGTCTCAGCGGCCTGAGGGGAGAGGCAGTAGCGGAGCCGGGTGATGTTGCAGAGGTGGGGGAAGGCAAAACAGGTCATGGCATAGATGTGGGATAGAAAGGACAGTTGAGGGTCAAACAAGACGTCTGGGTTCCATACAGGTTCAGTGAGGTGTTGAGTGCATCCGTGGATGGTGATGCTGTCTGCTGGCCTGCTCCATGCCCACCATCCTGCTCTTCCCAGCCTTGGCAGTTGGACCTTCTGCTTCTCTGCCCCCATCCTCTGGAACTTCATCCCTCTGCCTGAATCCCTCCACCTCATCCCTCAGAGAGTGGTGGTACAGGGAATGTCAATTTTATTTGGCTGTGCCTTCAGACACTCTCCCACCACACCCACCTCCCTCCATCCCTCTTGATTCCAATTCCCCGTTCTGCACCTTGGGATGTCCTTCCAACGTGAAAGATGTGGATCCAACTCCCACAGCAGGACTTTGAGGTGATGTCCTAGGCTGACTTTCTGCAAATTAGAGCTGGATTGTTGGAGTTATTGTCCCCCAGCTGAGACGTTAAACCAAGATCCTGTCTGGTTTGTTCAGATGTTAAAGATCCTATGGCACTGCTCAGGAGTTTTGCCTGGAGTCCTGGCCAATAGTACTTAAGGTAAAAATTGATCATTCATGACACGCCTGCTTGTGGTATCCGGGCGTGCGCAAATTAGTTCCTGAACTTGCCTAGAGATACAGTCTTTACAGAAACTGACACGTTTTACAGATTCTTTGTGGTGCTTTTTGAGACTACGGTATATCAAATGGAAAGATTATTATAATTTATAATGGCTGTTATTCCGGTTACTGATCACTAGATGGTAGTCTAATGCTATTCTCAAGCTGGTGACATGCACCTCAGATTTGGGACAGCAACACTCTTCTTGAATTTTCTTAGTGAAGTCTTCTAATAAAATATAACACTTTGGTTATGTGCCAGACTCAGTTACTGTGAGCTTAGCTCAGTTAGCAGCACTGTTGCTGTGATGTGAAAGTTGTGACTGCATGTCAGTGCCTTGGGATTTCTTCCCGATGCGAAAGGCGCTGTACAAATGTCATTTTTTATTGTAATTTTGCACTGTACGTCTGGTCGAGACTGGGTCTGGAAACTAAAAGGAGGTGATTCTCCAGTAATATAGAGTGCTGTTCAGATTATTTTCTTCACATTTAAGCAATAGTCCCTTCCTGGATATTTTGTCCCCATGTGAAGCACTTTGTATTTCTGCACATTGAATTTCATCTGCCCAATTCCCAAGTATGTTCAAGTCCTCCTGTAACCTATCCTGGTTCTTCTTTGTAGTCTTTCACCTTCATTAGTTTTGTGTCATCTGCAAATTTAGCCACTGTGCTTGTGACCCCAAGCTCCAGATCATTTACGAAGATGTTAAATGAAAGAGGTCCCTAAACAAGTACCCTCCGCTGGTAACATTCTCCCGGCCTGATGCCATTCCCTATACCACCACTCTCTGGATTCTGTCAGTCAGCTAATTATGTATCCATTGCAGGATACTTCCATTTTCTAGTATTTTCAGTACCAGTCTTTCAAGAACTGTATCAAAGGCCCTTACTGAAATCAAAGATATGCAATATCCACTGCCTTATCCTTGTCAAGCTTCTTTGTAACACAGTCAAAGAAAACCAGTAAATTAGTTTGGCAGGATCTCCCCTTCTATTGGCTATCTTTTATCATTGTATTACTGTCCAGATGCTTCATGATCTTATTTTTAATAAGAATCTCCATAACTTTACCCACAATGGACATCAAACTCACTGATCCGGCAGCCGAAAGATTGGACCACCCTGAATTTGTTTGTGGGAATGTGGCTATTGCGTGCTTCCCACTATTGACATTGCTCCGAGACACCGTCTGGTGTGAAGGGCACTATATAAATGCAAGTTGTTGTCGACAGTCAGCGGAGTGAGAGGCAGGCGGTGCTGGTAGCACAGAGGGAGCAATGCTGTCTGAGTGGAAACTCAGCGTTGAAGGCAGTCAGTGCCCAGCTTGCCTCTTGCCTTTCTGCATGAGCTGTTGTCAGTCATGAGTGAAGAGTTTGAACACTGCCAATGTCAAATGAAAAAAATGAGACTTAAAAAGGCTTAAACCGTGCCTTATCTTCTTGGCGGCCTTGAGTTTGAGGTTAATTTATTGCTAGAATAAAATCCCAATTCACAACTGAAGCAAAACTGGTTGAGGACGAACTGGCAGTGATGTGTGTGACTAGAGTTCTCCGAGCCTGACACTGAGCGTGTTACATCTGGGAAGGCTCAAAAACAAATAATAATCCTTGCATTTGATATAGCGCCTTATCACATCTTCGAGATGTCTCAAAGCGCTTCATAGAGTATACTGTAAAGTGAATTGACTGTGGGCAAAATGTGGTAGCCAATTGCACACAGCAGCGTCCCACAAACAGTCATGGATTGCATGACCAATTTTTTAAAAACATTTTTATGAATTAATTATTAACCCAGAAAAGCAATCCGCCAACAACTCGGCTCCTACTTACTACTCGGTAAACAGAAGCCTGTGGAGTAAGGAAACTTGCTCAACGTTTCGCCCTGCCGGGGATCAAACCCAGGTTTCTCGCTTGCGAGGTGAATGCTCTAACCACTGAGCTACAGGACTCCAACACATCGGCAACTTACACAGCTTTCTCTCCCCTCTATGTCTGTGATTCTCAATCAAAGTCCACGGAACATCATACGAAAGAACCCAAGGTAAATAGCTGGTAAATCATGTTGAGCAGTGTGTAGCTGGGCTGGGAAAACAAATGAGGTGATGCTGGGCGATCGTGCAAATCAGATGTCAGCCTCGATCTGTGCAGTGCTCTGGTCATGTAGCACCCAGATACTGTATACGGTTCTCGTCGTCATAACTTAAAGGTCCGTCCAGGCCCAGGTCTACAATGCAGAGGAGAGCAACTTGGAATTAGCAATTACTCTAACACTCTGGGGTCACCAAGCCTTGGCTCTTGCCAACCTGTGTCTAATACTCTCCGGAATTAGGTAAGCAGGATTCATCCCTCCAGACACGTGGAAATTTCCAGTTGTTTTGATTTCCAGTTGTACTCAACAGTACCTCATGCTGAGCCTCACAATGAAATAAGAATAGTAACACTTCTCACAGCGGCTAATCACATCTCAAAGCCTTTTCTGTAAAGTGTGGTAACTATGCATAGGTAGTAAACACAACAACCAATTTGGGGGCTTGTTGACCAGCAGACAGGCAGACAGTGCTCCCTGCTCAGGCTGGCACTCTCTGTTAGTACAGTATATAAATGTATTATTGCTGAAGTGGTCGATGGTGGCGGCTGATGATACTTCCCACCGAGCTCCCAATATGCCTCAAATCAGAGCCTGTGGGAAGATGGTCTGAGTTGGCCAAATGATGGGAAGGAAGACTATTAGTGTCTGTGTGGTCAGTGTTCCGGTTTCCTGCTGGTTACCAAATATCGTTTGAGGTTCTTAACGTCTTGGAACCCACCCCACACACCTCACACACCACCCCCACACACACCTCACACACCACCCCCACACACACCTCACACACCACCCTCACACACCACCCCCACACACACCTCACACACCACCCTCACACACCACCCCCACACACACCTCACACACCACCCTCACACACCACCCCCACACACCTCACACACCACCCCCACACACCTCACACACCACCCCCACACACACCTCACACACCACCCCCACACACACCTCACACACCACCCTCACACACCACCCCCACACACACCTCACACACCACCCTCACACACCACCCCCACACACACCTCACACACCACCCTCACATACCACCCCCACACACCTCACACACCACCCCCACACACCTCACACACCACCCCCACACACCTCACACACCACCCCCACACACCTCACACACCACCCCCACACACACCTCACACACCACCCTCACACACCACCCCCACACACACCTCACACACCACCCTCACACACCACCCCCACACACCTCACACACCACCCCCACACACCTCACACACCACCCCCTCACACCTCACACACCACCCCCACACACACCTCACACACCACCCTCACACCACCCACCCCCTCACACCTCACACACCACCCTCACACACCACCCCCACACACCTCACACACCACCCCCACACACCTCACACACCTCACACACCACCCCCACACACACCTCACACACCACCCCCACACACCTCACACACCTCACACACCACCCCCACACACCTCACACACCACCCCCACACACCACCCCCACACACCTCACACACCACCCCCACACACCTCACACACCACCTCACACACCACCCCCACACACACCTCACACACCACCCCCACACACCTCACACACCACCCCCACACACCTCACACACCATCCCCACACACACCTCACACACCTCACACACCACCCCCACACACCTCACACACCATCCCCACACACACCTCACACACCACCCCCACACACCTCACACACCACCCCCACACACCTCACACACCTCACACACCACCCCCACACACACCTCACACACCACCCCCACACACCTCACACACCATCCCCACACACACCTCACACACCACCCCACACACCTCACACACCACCCCCACACACCTCACACACCATCCCCACACACACCTCACACACCACCCCCACACACCTCATACACCACCCCCACACACCTCACACACCTCACACACCCCCCACACACCTCACACACCACCCCCACACACCTCACACACCACCCCCACACACCTCACACACCTCACACACCACCCCCACACACCTCACACACCATCCCCACACACACCTCACACACCACCCTCACACACCTCACACACCTCACACACCACCCCCACACACCTCACACACCACCCCCACACACCTCACACACCACCCCCACACACCTCACACACCACCCTCACACACCACCCCCCACACACCTCACACACCTCTGCTAAGAGTGACTCAGGTAATCAGGATGTTTCTATTGTATGAAAGGCATTTATTAATCAGTGAATTGGAATGACTGTAAACGGATTCATTCTGATTTATCACTTATTACAGGACTTGGTGACACAAAGCGAGTTCTCGGACAGGAACAAGGTGTGGGTAGTTTGTGAGACAAATGGCTGCTATATCCAGCAATTGATGTTTGTTGCTCTATTAAAAGTCAACTATGTGAAGGTATTTACAGACTGTTCACTGTTCCAGTGCGTCTCTCTCTGCGTGCCTTGTGCTGGCAGAGTTAACGCAAAAACAGTAGCAATGTGATGCTGTTACTGAGAAAGTCTGTCTATGTTTGAAAACTCAATCTCGTTAATAATCTTTCAAAATAATCATCCTTACAATTGGTCTACCAGCAAAAAAATTGAATCACTGCAAAGCATTTCAAAGGTAACTGCTGCCAAGTGTAGTGACTGTGTATTCGTAGGGAAGCACAGCAGTTTATGCTCAGGAAGGACCCACAAACTCCCAATTTTCACAAGATCACAAGATCAGTTTGTATAAAGAAGACACTCTGATCTGCTCCCTCCAGAACACCCACTCTACCGACCCTCCCATCACAGCATCAAGCTGCTGTTTAAATGAGTCCCAGTGTCCTGGCCTCAACCACCCTTCCTGGCAAACTGTTCCTGTCATTGATTACCCTCTGAGTAAAGAAAAACTTCCCGGTATCTGTCCTGAAACCACCCTTCACACCTCAAAACCTGTTACCTCTTGTCCTACTGTTGTGATACATCCTACAATATTGATCTGGGTTTATTTTTACAATTTTGTAGACTATTGTATTGCAGACTTGGATTGTGGACGATAGCTGGGATTGTGGACTATGAGCTCAAGTCCCCACAATCATCTGACCTAAAGTTGAGAGGTTCCTAATATTCACTTACAAAATACCCAGTCACCACATTTTACAAAAACTGTGAAGTTTCCTCCCACTATGAAAGGTGCTAGATCACATCTAAAAATAATCAAATAACTGAGCCCAGCTGACACTCATTATTACCGCTTGTTGCGAGCTGGGCTTGCGATCATGTGATTTGGAGACGTGATATAAACCCACAGTAGCTTTACAGGTTTGTGCTGCATTTCCTATTTTTTAGGATGATCTATTCACAGTGAGAGGCAAATCATTTTCAGTGCAGAACTTCCCTGCATACCGGCTTTCCCCAGTACTGGTTAAGACACCTTGTGCCATTGGTTATGGTCTGTTTGTAGAGAAGACGAAAAATAATTGGAAGAAGCTTGTCCTCGTAGTCTGCCTATTCCTGCCTGAGACACAGCTGGCAGCCAGGCATGTCCATGTGTGTACTGTGCTGTATGTAAGCACACGTACAGGGCTATATTACTTCATCTGAATGGAAAGTCCAAATCCTCCTAAAAGATTGGATGGCAATATAAAAGTGAGGAAGGAATGGCTTCTCCAGTTACATTCAGTGTTTTTTCAACCAAAGGCTCAGTGATAAGAACAACAGAGGAACGCAGGTCCCAAATTAGAGAAGACTCCAGAGACATAAGAGAAAGACGTGATCTCCTGAACATTTAGAGAAAGAAAAGGTTTATTGAAATCAACCAATGAGATCAGATGCAATCACCTGATGGATTGAATTCTATCAGTTCAGTCCATCAGTTGGAACAAAGAAGGTTGAGGCCTTTAAAATGATGAGGGGTCTTGATAGAGTCAGTACAAAGAAATTATTCTCATGAGTCGGTGAGGGCATCAATGTAAGACTATTAGTAAATGAGCAAATGGGTAGGTTAGGAGAGATGTTTTCATGCACAAACTGGTTGGGATATGGAATGCTCTGCTGGGAGTGGTGGTTGAGGCAGAATCCATATCAGCTTTCAAGAGGGAACTAGATAAATACCTAAAAACGAGTCAACTACAGGGATATGGGAAAAGGGCAGGGCAATGGGACTGAAATTGTTCTTTAAAGAGCTGGCACAGATACGATGGGCCAAGTGGACTTCTCCTGTGCCATATATTCCAATGGTTTTGTGGATATTTAAATTTTGTGCAAAACGTGTCTTGAAAATGGTTTGTATTTGAAAGTTGCATTGGGCTATTGGAGAGGGGAATGGAGGGCAAGTGAGCGGTTGTGAGGAGTGGGGGGGTGAGGAGCACAGTGCAGAGCCAGCATTTGGGCAATTACGACATTATGTGCCCATGTGATGCAGCACAGGACTAAGAATGTTGTATGGGTCAATAATAGAATCACTAAGCACATGAGTGTTAAGCATAAATATACTAGAAGCAATCAATTGAGGATCGGCACCACCTCGCAGCTGACTTCTATCACAAGCCTGAACTTGTTTTTCTTGTTTCTTGCTGTCCCAAGTCAATGTTAAAAATCTAATAATAATAATAATAAATTGGATAAGTTCAATCCACGATTGTTTGTGGGGACGCTGCTGCGTGCATTTGGCTGCCGCGTTTTGCCCACAAAATATTCAGTCAAATCACTTTACAGTCTATTCTGTGAAGCGCTTTGAGACGTCTCGAAGACGTGATAAGGCGCTATATCGAATGCAAGGATTATTATTATTATAATTACAAGATGCATTTTATCCCTAAACAACTGGACAAAAACGACAGTAAATCCCTTCTGTAGGACAGTTGAGTACAGTTTGGGATCAATTGGGGCTAACAGCCTAATAATTTATGCTAATTGGACATCTTTTGCACATATGCGTTATATGAACAACA